CTTTCACACACGCTGTTCCCTCGGCATGTGCCAGAGTGCTCCCCAACTCCCCAGCCATGTGAATTCCTCCTCTGCTTCCCCAGGCCTCTACTCAGTGCCTCAACCAATTCAAAACAGCACCATCCTCCTTGCTGCATAACCTTCTCTGCTTCACTTTTTTTTTTTTTTTAATTGAGACAGAGTTTTGCTCTTGTTGCCCAGGCTGGAGTGCAATGGCACGATCTCGGCTCACTGCAACCTCCGCCTCCCTGGTTTAAGCGATTCTCCTGCCTCAGCCTCCCGAGTATCTGCGTCACTTTTTATGACCTCCATCCTCACCTGACATATTTCACATTTCTCTGTGTGTGCCAGTCTGACTCCACCAGCATCTTGCTCCACCAGCAGAATCTCCATGGGGTCAGGAACCGCATCTGTTCTATTCCCAACGCCATCCCTAGGGTCTTTGTCGGCATCTGCCACACAGAAGGTTCTTCATAATTTGCACAATAAATAGATGGAAGAGGATGGAGGAAGAGAAAAAGAGGAGTAAGAAGTGCAGGAGGAGAAGGGGGAAGACAACGAGGAAGAGGAGAAAGAGGAGGAGGAGGAAGAACGACCATTGCCATTGTCATCCAGCAGCCATCTAAACCAGACATGGATGCTGCAAAGAGCCACACTCTGGGTGACAACAGGACAGGCCTTTAGGAGATGGTTGTCAAGGCTGGCTGAAGGCTGGACCCTCCTGGAGTGCCTGTAAAAACTACCAAGGAGATAATACACATTTGAGATGATAGATTTGCTAATTATCCTGATTTGCATAATATATACATGATTCAAGACATCACACTGTATCCCATAAATCTGTACAATTATTAATACTATGTGTCAATAAAAATAAAAATAAGGCCAGGCACGGTAGCTCACGCCTGTAATCCCAGCACTTTGGGAGGCCAAGGCGGGTGGATAACAAGGTCAACAGATCGAGAACTATCCCGGCCGACATGGTGAAACCCCACCTCTACTAAAAACACAAAAATTAGCCAGGTGTGGTGGCACGTGCCTGTGGTCTCAGCTACTCAGGAGGCTGAGGCAGGAGAATCGCTTGAACCCAGGAGGTGGAGGTTGCAGTGAGCCCAGATCACACCACTGCAATCTGGCCTGGCAACAGAGTAAGACTCCATTTCAAAAATTAGTTAATTAATTAATTAATTAATTAATTAAAAATATCAATGTCAGGCTCCACCCGACCAGCTGCACCTGAAGCTCTGCGGTAGGGCCTGCACATCTGCCAGTGTCTCTGCCAGGCTCCCAGGGATCCTGATTGCCAGCAACAGATCCAGACCCTGACCCAGGAAGGGCAGGGACAGGCTAGGGGAGAAAGGGCAGGGCTCAGGCTCACAGGAGCCAGTTGGTCTCCCTCCTCCCCAGCACCGCCTCTGGACACACTCCCCCTCTCCAACAGGCTTGCAGCCTCCACTGCCCCGACTGTCCATTAGAGAGGTAAGTGACTTGTTAGGGACCAAGCCCCCCCGTCAGCATCCCCAGGACCACCTTTTGTAAACGTCCTACAGGAGAAAGGAAGAGGGTCCTCCCAGATGGCCTGCCCAAGGCCTCTCTTCTGGCATCCCAAGTAGAGGCAGCCTTCGCCCAGCCGGCCGGTGCCCTCCCAGTGGTTCCGCCTGAGAGAAGGAAGAATGAGGGTTGTTCACTGTTTCTTGTCAGTTCTGTTAAAGTAAAGACATCGTCCTGAGGGAAAAAGCAGTAAGAAAGGAAGGACCTGAGAGGTCCAGGACATGGCTGGAGAAAAAGAGAATGGTATGGACAAGAGCAGGCCAAGAGGGCTTCCTGACAGAGGCGGCACTTTAGCTGTGATGAGGAAGTATGGCACAGTGGTTGGGGATGGGTTGGGGGGCAGAGAGGGCAGTCCAGGGCACCGCCTTGCCTGTACTGCATTCTTTAGTTGAAGTCTGGCTGTGTTCCCTGCAAGCTCTCCTGTTACTTCCCTCCTGTGGGTGAGTGAGAACAGAGGAGAGGACCTTGGGGAACAGCAGCCCAGCCTCCTCACTGCCCGCCTGTGTGCACTCCTTCGTCTGGGGAGGGGAAGGTGTTTCTCCCTCCTCCCACTGCTACCCCAGATGCCAGGCCCTGGGCCGGCCCCAGTCAACAAGAGCTGGGACCTTGCAACCTTGCAGGAAGCTTTCCCCAGCCCTGCCCTTCTAAAGAGCAAGTGGCTTCAGCCTAGAGCAGCAGCAGCCGTCTCGTGACCATGAGACAGCATGCCTGAGATCAGAGGTCATGTGCAGAAGGCAAAAGGAGGGACAAGATGGGAGGAGAGAGGAGGGGAGAGGAGGGGAGAGGAGGAGAGGGGAAGGGAGGGAATGGGAAGGGAGAGGAGGGGAGATGAGGAAAGGGAGGGAATGGGAAAGGAGAGGAGGGGAGAGGAGGAGAGGGGAAGGGAAGGGAGGGGAGAGGAGGGGGTGGCCCTCCCCTCACCAGGTGCTCCTTGTTGGAGATGAATGGCCCACCTGCCCCCAGCAGTGATCCACTTTTTGCCCAACATAATTTGGTCGAGTTGGTTTGATGTTTAAAATAAAATTAAATTTAAAAGTTGGTTTTTTTAATAAAAAAGCTTTAACTTGAACCCCTCAAGTATATGACTGGCCCCAAAACTCCTGGGCAGCAAAGCGAGGGAGGATAGGAGATGTCATGGGTTTTCCTGCTAGTTGGAATCCTCATGACAGGTGACGAAACCTGCTTTTTCAACAGGCCCAGCTCAGAGACTCTCATTCTGAGGACTGGCACTGAAGCCCTTCTCTCAAAGGCCACCTGGAACTTTAACTGTGGGGCCCACACCTATTCTCAGCTCCCATCTTCTTGGGCAGGCACTTTTTCTAAAACAAGCACATTTCTTTTTAAAGATATCAGCGTGCCTGACCAAAACTACTAACACAGCCTCTCGGGATGGTGCCGTATCAGGTCAGCCAGTAAGAAGCAGGCAGAAGACTTCCTCAATGAAACAGCAACAGTGCAACAAGAGCAAAACCTTCCGAGGAGAAGCCCTTTACCCCTTCTGCCTGCCTGCTCTTCCTTCCTGAAACTAAGAGGTACAAGCTGGAGCAGCAGCAGCCATCTGGTGACCATGAGACAGCATGCCTGAGATCAGAGGCCACGTGCAGAGGGCAAACAGCAAAGCGAGGGGAGCACCTGCCCCCTCTCGCATAGTTGAGCATCCCACCCAGCCGAGGATTGCCTGCCATCAGATTTCTTAATGTCTGAGACAGGTAAGACCGTCGCCAGGCCAACCACTCTTTGGGCTTTCCCGAAATGTGGAGTCTGACACGGGCGTTGCTAGCATGCTTCTCTGGCCTCGCTGCCTCGCTGGAGAGCCTCAGGGCCCCTTTCCTCCATGACGCTCTTTCCTCCCAGCATCCTGACTGCCTCCTCATTCTCCCCCAGTCTCTCCTCTCCCTGATTTGCTCTTTACATGACTGATTTTTCAAAAGTGCCATGAGCATTCCTCTTTTAGAACCTTCCAATGTGCTGCCTGGACTTCCCTTCCCCTTTTTTGCCTCGGGTATTTTTGGAGAAGCCTGCCAGAGGCTGCCTGTTAGGTCAGACCCCGTCTGCATGCCACCTGGAATGCACCTGTCTCACTCCTCTGTGGCCTCACTGTGCCCGGAACTGCTGCTTAATGGAGCTTCCTGAGGGCTTGGAGGCTCCTTAGCCTGGGAACAACGTCTGTGTGTTCCCTGATACATCCCAGCATCAAGTACAATTTCCAGCACATAGTAGGTGCCCAAGAAACCACTGTTGAGTAAATAAACAACTATATCATTACATGCACTCTGAAGAAACACACATCACACAATGAGAGCTCGTTACACAAGCAGATCCACACCTGGTGAGTCTGAAAGGGATCCAGTCTGAGTGACAGGTGAACGCTGACAAGATAGCAAGAAAGGCTACCAGGCCAGGAGGACGGAGCAGCACATCCCAAGACCCTGTGAAGAGGGAAGAGCAGTGCATGAGTAGAGGGTGGTTTTGATGAGGTGAGCAGGGCCAGGCCACACAGGCCTTGGGGACCTGGCCAGCTGACTCTTTGTTCTGGAGACTGTAGAGAGAAACCTACAGTTTCCGTTTCCAAAGCCCTTTTGTCTTCAGTGTAGGAAATGCTGGAGGAGGGCATATGCATGGTGAACGCCCCAGTGTCCATCACAGGAGCCCAAGACAGAGTGGGTGGACACTCACCTCTGCAGTCTGCTCTGTCCTGAGAGTTTTATAGGTGGTAGGTCATTCAATTCCCAAAAATCTTGCAGTAAGGAAACTGAGGCACAGGCGGCCAGGGACCTGTCCAGGTCATAGGGCTGGTACATGCTGGGGCCTGGAATGAACCACACCTCAGTGTGACCAGGCCGGGCTGGCAGTGTGGGAGAGAGAAGCAGCAGACCAGAGAAGCTCTCAGAGGGAAATGGTTTAGACGGACCGAGGGAGGGAGTGGGGCATTGCAAAGGAAATCCAAAGCAAGTAACGAACAATGCTAAGACTTGCTAAAACTGGGTGACACATCCACTCGCATTTTCTATGCTGGAAACAATGTGAGTGTTCACGCATGCACACCACTGCACCACATTTGTGCTGCCTGTGGGATTCAGTGACCTGGAGATCATCAGGGTCTTGGTGACAGCTGTTTCCATGTCTTGAGGGGACCAGACGCCAGAGGAGAGCAGGCTGAGGAACGCCTGAGATTTGAGAACATGGAGACAAGATGTCTAGACTGTGGTTTGGAGAAATTTGACTATAAAATAGGAAAGAGAGGGTCAGTAGCCAGTGATGTGTCCATAGTGGAGGACAGGTATTCTTCTCATTGCAGGAATCAGACATTACAGAGATCATCGAAGTCTCCGGCCTGCCTCTCCTCCATCCCACTCCCCTTCCTCTCTCCCCAAAGGTAACTGCTCTCAGGAACTCACTGTCACTGTCGCGCATGTTTTGTATTTTTACTGCGTATTGATTTGTCCAGAAACGTTTTAAGGCCTCATTTTATTGGTTTTTAAGCTTTCTGTAAATGATGTGATACCGTTCATATTGTCCCAGGACGTGCTCCTTTTCTTCACATTACACTTTACAAGCTCTGTCAAGGCGGATAAATGGGAATCTCCAGAGCACTCTATGTCACTGGTATCCTCTCCATCCAGTCCTGATCTACTGCTGATGGGCAGCGTTCTGCTCGTGCAGTCGTGGTGCAGACAACACTCCTGGGTCGGCCACCCCATGCCTGTGCGCTGGCTTTCTCCAGGGCAGAGGCTGCAGGTGAGCTGATTGGGCCATGAGCACCTTTGCCTTTATGGAGACTCACCAGACATCATACCAGCGTACACTCTTGCAGCACTGCAGGCAAATTCCTCTGCCCTTGCCCCTTCCGGGTATTGCTACATTTCCAATGGGGAGATGTGGGACTGTACAATCACCCACAGAAAGGTTTCTGTTGAGAGAGAAATTAAATACAGAGGATCTAGAAGTGCATGCTGGGGTAGGGGATGGGGAGATGGCAGCCAGAGAAGGACTCCCCGGCAGACATATGCCCCCATATACAGAACTCTCTACCAGTCAATGCGAGGAGCCAGTTGGGACCTTCCTCTCTGCACTTGCTGAGATGATGGATCCCAGACTTGCCCGTAGTGCACGGCGGCCTCGCTGCCCGCTCCCCAGCTGACCCCTCCTGCTCCCACTGCACAGTGCCCACACACCCAGCAAGGCGCTTACACAGAGAATGATTGCCAGGTGTTTATTGAACTGTTTTCCCCCACAAGACTCTGAGCTGCTTGAAACAGGGGCTGCGTTACTATCTCCTCAACCTCCAGAAATTTGCAAGGGCCTAGCACACAGTTGGCGCCCAATGAATACTTTCTGAATTGCTTTAAAGCTACTATTGCAGAGCCCACTGGCGTGGATCTCCTAAATATGGTGCTCTTTGCAGACACATGCACAATTTAAAGAAAGGAGCCAAGTGGGAGCCAGGAAGAAGCAACTTCAATCAGGAGTGTGGACGGCAGACGAGGAGTCCCACCCAAGAGGCTTTCTTCATCCACCCTCTCTTCCCTACCCTCTCTAGCCCCCAGCTTACCTCAGAACCCCGACTTCCTTCCCTGGTTGTAAAATAAATTAATACGCTTTAGCCTTTCCTATAAAAAACTGATCTCCATCCTCTCACTGTCTCTAGAAAATTCTTACATTAATTTATACTACTTCCAGTTTTGTTCTCTCTTACTCAGAAATGAGGAAAAATCCTGAGACCAGAAAGAGGGAAAAAGAGAATTCCAAGCCAAGAAAGCACAAAACAAGTTCAAATGTCTAAACCTCATGGGCGGGTATTGGGGGAGTGACATTCACAGCACGCATTCAGGAAGTCAGAGCTGAAATCTGGGGCTAATGACATAACACTGATAACACTGATGGGTGCAATGAAGAAAAAGAATTCCCCAATTTCTATTTTACTTTCATCATTCAAGGAAAATGGTTTGCAGGAGTGAAGGAGTGGAAAGAAAGCCTAAAGCCAGTCTGGAGACCTTGGAGCGCTGTGATGTGCTCTGAGCAGCCAGGCTGAAATGGACGCCTCATGAAGTTGGCCTTGGGGGTTTCCGGTGAGCTCCACCAGGCGCTGTCTTTGACCCTTTACCTCATCCTATTGGCTTTTGACACATCAACAAGTTGTACAAAGTCATGCAGAGCCTGCTTTCAAGAAATACGTGGAGGTGAAGTTGGACGTGATTTGGGGCTAGACTTCGTGTTCCGTAAGGTCTAAGGGAAGAGGGTGGCAGCTGTGCATAAGGAAAGGGGAGTTCTAACACTCAAAGATGGCAGTCTGAGGGATGGGTGAACTCAAAGGACTAAAAGTCACTGGAGATCCATGAAGACAACTCAGAAGAATTTTAGTGGCAGCTCCTTTTTGACAGTCCCTCCACCATTTTGGAAGTGGAGGCAAACCGGGGAAACACCAGGAAAGCTAATATTGATAGGAAAACCTCAGGCGAATAAAATGGCAGGAATGTAAACCAAAAATGCTGGTTGTGTCCATGAGCCTGGGAGGCCACAGGGGCACCCTCCGTCAGACAGGGAACCCTCAAGGTGGGCAAGTAAGCAACCTAAAGAACCTGAGCTGCCCCCTCCAGGCTCCTCCAAATCTGACCTTTGCTACAGGATAGATGAGTCAGCAAAGCTCATCAGCTCCACGGATGTAAAGACGGTGTAGGAAGCATATGGCGGAGGGAAGAATCAGCACCACAAAATGACTCTGTCACGCTAGAGAAAAAGGCCAAATCCAGCTAGGATCACACTCAATAAAAACGAGCATCATCTGTGGTCCTTGGGGCTAAAACCCGACTGCATTAAGAACGTACAGTTTAGCAGCAACACGTTTGACGCTTACGGGTTTTATTCGAAGAGTCAGCAGAAATACTGACTCCCAAAAGGTTAGCACAAACTTGGACTGGCTTCTGGAAGGTTAGCATCTGGCGCAGTGGAGGTGCAGTCTTGGCAGACACAACACTGATTGTCCTTACCTGGAGCGCTGGACTCAGTCCACGGACTTGCATCCGTAGAGCGGCTTGAGCAGAGGAGACCTAGTGGGATGTGACTGTGGGCCAGGATATCCTGCCGCATGAAGAAAAGTCCACAAATGGATTTCACCTGCAGACAACAAGACGCCCTCTTACGCAGAGGGTAGGTAAGAGCTATCCTCATATAAATAAAGGAAGCCGTGGCCATGAGGATTCAGATGAGCAAGTCCTGTTACAAGAACTAACATTGGGACCACACAGCAGGAGCCAGAGAAGACAGCCTTCAGCCCAAAGACAGAAATCCCAGTACCCCCTAGAGCTGCGCGAAAGGGCCATCTCAGTAGACAGTACACTCTCCAGCTAAGGACAAACTCAGTAGACAGTACACTCTCCAGCTAAGGACAAACAGCTAAGGAGACACTGCAGAGGTCATCAGATGCAGACTTTCAACTCTAGTAACAGACTTCAGTTTTCTGAAAAATTATCTCTGACTCTATGAGGATGATGCCCATTCTCTGATAATGACAGACAAATGAGGTCACATGGTTTATAATGACTGGTTGACACAAATCATTTAAAAGAAATCTCATTGGTAAAACATCCTTAATCCACTTCCTCAGGTGACAGAAAGCAGAGGAGCATTAAAATGTGCTCTTTCATGGCAGGCACTATGGCTATGCATATTTTTTTATCCTTAATTTAATCTTAAATAACAACCTTTTGAGATAAGTATTTCTGTTTACCTTTAATAGATCAGAAAACTGTCTCATAGAGGCTACATAATTTGGATGAGATTGTCCAGGCCATAAATGACCAAAGACTTACAATGGGCTTTATGGAAATTAAATCTTCTGATTCAGATATTAAAAAACTGGAAGGAGCATTGCTCTCATCTTACAACCAAAAAAATTTGGATAATTTGCAAAAATCACAATCTTTCTTGAATAAATCAGAGAGCTGAGACTGCAGGAAAAATAATCCAAAATCTAAGGAAAATAGGCACCTCCAAGGAAAGGAGCAGCCACAGACAATGGACACTGTAAAAGAAGAGTTTATTTACAAATTTTAATGAATTTCTAAAGATTGAGTGTTCACTAATGTGAGAACCCTACCCTAAAAACAAGATAACAGAGAAGAGTTTGAAACTCATATTGCACTAAGCATGAACACAACAATAACAAAACCTAACCACAGCTTAACTTATGACCAGATTTACTCAAATTATTACACTAAAGTCTTAGCCAAAAACAAAACAGAGGAATATCCATTTCCAAGCATTAACACTAGTTACATAAGTCTCTGTTGTTCTGTTAAAGATATCTGGCTCTTATACAAAAATGTAAGACACACAAAAAAACACAGAGGAAAAAGCAGTATCAACAAGACCAGATTTTGATATGACACAAATGTTGAAGCTATTACATGAAATATTTCAAATAAATATAATTAACATGTTAAAATCTCAAGTGGAAAAGTTAGATGGTATGCATGATCTGAGGGAGAGCTTCAAGAGAGATATGAAAATTACAGGAAATAATCAAATGAGAACGTGAAAAATGAAAAGCATGATAACAAAGTTGAAAGAGGCTTTATTGGATTCAGTAACAGAATCAATACAGCTGAGAAAAGAATCAGTAACTTGAAGATAAGTCACTATGAATTATGCAAACTAAAACATACACACAAAAAAGTAGTGGTAATAAAAACAGTATCCAAAAGCTGTAGGATAATATCTAACAGTTTAGCATATGTATATTTGGAAGGAGAAGAGAGAAAAACCAAGCAGCAAAAATATTTGAAGAGATAATAGGCAAAGTTAATAACAGCCACCAAGCCACAGACCCAAATTCTTCAAAAGCACCAAACAGAATAAATGTGTTAAACCGTCTCCCCAAATCCATGCATATCATCTTTAAAATGTTGAAAGTCAATTATGAAAAGAAAATGTTAAAGGCAGCCACAGAGGGAGAAAGCATATTACATACAGAGGAACAAAGACAGGAATTGCATAAGACTTTTAGTTAAAAAAATGTACAAGTCAGAAGACAATAAAGTGGGAGATTTTGGCTGGGCACAGTGGCTCACACCTGTAATCCCAATACTTTGGGAGCCCCAAGGCAGGCAGATCACCTGAGGTCAGGGGTTCGGGACCAGCCTGTCCAACATAGTAAAACCGTGTCTCTACTAAAAGTACAAAAATTAGCTGAGCATGATAGCACATGCCTGTAATCCCAGCTACTCAGGAGGCTGAGGCAGGAGGATCATTTGACGTCAGGAGTTCAGGACCATCCTGGTTAACATGGTGAAACCCCGTCTCTATTTAAAATACAAAAATTAGCCAGGCGTGGTGGTGCACGCCTGCAATCCCAGCTACTCGGGAGGCTGAGGCAGGAGAATCACTTGAACCTGGGAGGTAGAGGTTGCAGGGAGCCAAGATTGTGCCACTGCACTCTAGCCTGGGTGACAGAGTGAGTCTCCATCTCAAAAAAAAAAAAAAAAAATAGAACTATAAAAAAAAAGAAAATATTTGCGTTTGGGATCTAGGGCTAGGCAAAGAGATCTTCACGTAAATTAATGATAAATTGGACTTTATTAAAGTTAAAAATGTTAGCTCTGAGAAAAAGTCTATTAAGAGGATGAAAATACAAGTTATGTGCTTGTAGAAAATATTTGCAACCCACACATCTAACAAGGACTAGTATCAGACATATATGAAGAATTCTCAAAACTCAGCAGTAAAAAAATCAAACTTACTGTTTAGAATATGGGCAAGGATCTGAACAAACATGTACTGAAGAGGATCCAGAGGTGGCAAAAAAGCACATGAAAATATGTTCAGCATCACTAACCACTGGAAAATGTACATTTAAACCACAGTGAGATATCACTACATGAAAATTAAAAATAGTGATAACAGCAAATGCTGGTGAATGTGTGGAGAGACCAGCACACATACATTGCTGGTAGGTGAGTAAAGTAAGACAGCAACTCCAGAAATTCGACTTAATAATCATTTGACAATTTGAAAACTAAACATATAGCCATCATAAAAACCAGCCACTGCTTACTTAGGCTCGTAACTTAGAAAAATCAAAACTTGTGTTCACACAAAAACCCATTCACAAATGTTTTATCAGCTTTATTCATAATTAAAAGAAAAACAAAAAACCTGGAAACAACCCAGATATTCTTCAGTGGGTAAAGGGTTAAACAAATCGGTACTCCTTAGGCCAGGCACAGCGGCTCACACCTGTAATCCCAGCACTTTGGGAGGCCGAGGCAGGAGGATCACGAGGTTAGGAGATCAAGACCATCCTGGCCAACACAGTGAAACCCTGTTACTACTAAAAATATAAAAAAGTAGCCAGGAATGGTGGCACATGCCTGTAGTCCCAGCTACTCGGGAGGCTGAGGCAGGAGAATCACCTGAACCCAGGAAACGGAGTTGCAGTGAACCAAGATCGTGCCACTGCACTCCAGCCTGGGTGACAGAGCAAAACTCCATCTCAAAAAAAAAAAAAAAAAAAAAATCGGTATTTCCATGCCATGGAATACCACTTAGCAATAAAAAGGGGCAAACTGTGGATACATGAAACAACTCAAGTCAATCTTTATAGATTTATGCTGAGCAAAAAAAAACCCAATCCCAAAACATGACATCCCACATGATTCCACTTATGTAACATACTGAAATAGCAAGATTATAGAAATAGAGACTGGAGGAGTGGTGGTCAGGGCTAAGAACAGGGTTGAGGGGCTCAAAAGGGAAGGATTTCTGCCTTGATCTGGCACCCTTCTTTCTCTGCACCACCCCCTTCTGCATCATGATGGGCATGGGACAGACAAGGACTCCTCTCAATGGAACCAGACCTGTCTCTGGCCAAAGGGAATTTCCAAAGATGTGTCTCCAGAAGCACAATAAGAGGTTTGATTCGAGCACATAAGTTTTTCAGTGAATTACTCTCTTTGAAAATAATGAGAGAGATAGGCTTTTTCAAATTTCCAGGTCTGTCCTGGGATGTAGATTGGGTTTCATAGGCCACGTCCACCAGGAAATTTCGAAAGTCAGGTTATTAAAAGGCTGCGAGGGTGGGAACTCGCAGTGCTGGCTGGACTGCAGCCCCTGACACTGAGATGAGCGCCGAGTCTTTTTTGACAGGAATCGCAGCCTCTCATGCAGATTCATTTATGGAAAGGAGATAATGGGAATGGGAAAGAAACACTGCTCTAATTTCATAACATGCAGCTCTCAACATGTTTAAATTCCAGGACCGCCTTTGCAGTTGAGCGTCTCTGGAAATACGCTACTCCCTGAAAGGACATATGCTCAGCCATGCTGAGGCGGGGTGGACGTGCTCACCCCGGATGCACGTTCGGAACACGGGCCCTAGAACTGCAGGTTGGGTGCTGCTAGGGCCTCAGGGTCAACAGTTACCCAGTGAGCCACCTGGTGGGGATCATAGGCCATCAGTGTTCAGTGTCACTCAGCCAAGGCGTGCATTCTGTGGATCTCTTTGGACACTTACACTCTCCCAATTTTGTCCCCTCTGGGTTGGGGTGGCAGCTCCCGTTCCAGGGGATGCCGTCCTCATCCCCACCTGCTGTAAGGCTCAGACTTTGGTAGGCCCTGAAGGAGGTAGTAAGGAGGAAGCAGACCTGGGCTATGATCTCACAGAGCTGGCATCTGCGGTGACAGAGAAAATCCTACATAAAGTTGTATGTCCTGGAGTAGGACCAGGTGCTGGAATGGACTCCAGACTGCAGGTGCTCTGGGACACCAGCCTCACGGGAACTTGCAGTGCTGCCTGCACAGGAGTGGGTGGCAGGTCAGCATCACCCCAGCCACTGACGCTTTGTGGTAGGACTGAATCCTGGCACCATTGCTTAATAGCTGGTGATGCTGAGCTATACATCCCCTCTCTGCCTTGGTTTTCTCATCTGTAAAATGGGGATCATTCTACCTGCCTTCCTGGACTGGGTTAAGATTCAACATGATATTAAGCACATCTCACAGTACAATGAATGGAAAAGCAGGAGAGAGTGAGAGAGAAGACCCACCGCCCTCACACCCACACCAGCTCCCTCCCAAGTCCTGAAATTCCCACATTAGCCTCAATCTTCAGGGGCCTTCTAGAGCCAGGGCCATTTTAATTTCCAGAATTGGTATCCCTTGGGAAGAGAATGAAATAAGCCAGACATTCCTAAATATGACGAATTAGCCCACAACTCCCCAGAAGTACTGTTGAAAGCTGGGGCCCTCAGAATGAGATGTGTGGGTTCGCTGGAGACCAGGAGAGACTGGGGAGCTGCACCCGGGCTGTGGACCACAGGCCCAGACAGGCAGGCTCAGGAGGCCGTGAGGCTGGGCGGTCTCGCTCTGGGCAGCGCAGGGCGCATTTGTCTGCTCACCCCAACTCTCCAGCGGACATTTACTGAGAATGGGAGGCAGGACCATGGAAATGTCCATTCCCACATGGCCCATGGACTTTGGGGGGAAAATCTTACCTGGATTTTTGTTGTTATGCTGCCATTTCCTAGTTGTGTGATTGTTTTTTCTCAATCTCTGCTAGGCTCAATGTCTTCATCTTTAAAGTGGGAATAGCAGCTCTCATCTCCTCTCAGGCAGTGAAGGATTAGATGGTAAGCTCCTGACAGGCTCTGTTTCCTGTTGGACGAATAAGTAGAGGGAGCAAGGAACCGTTTGCCCCTGCTGGCCCCCAACCACCCCTGTCCTCCTTGTCATCCTCTCCATGGAATTCAGACTATCCCACAGGCCCCTGTACCCCCAGTCCAATCCTTCAAGTCCCTCTTCTACATGGCCACCAGATCTGATTGCAGCTCTCCTCCTCAGCTCACAACCCTTCAGTGGCTCCCTGGTACCATGAGGCTAGGGCCCAAGTGCCTTCCACTGACCCTCTCTGGGGGCTGGAACCTGCTACACTCCTGTGAACCCCAAATACCCGAGACAGGTCTCAGTCAAGTTAGAAAAGTTAGTTTGCCAAGGTTAAGGACACACGCCTGTGACATGGCCTCAGGAGGTCCTGCCGACAGGTGCCCAACGTGGGCAGGGCCCAGCTTGGTTTTACACATTTTAGGGAGACATGAGACATCAATCAACACGTGTAAGAGGAACACTGGTTCCATAGGAAAGGCGGAGGGGGCTTCCACCTTGTAGGTAGATAAGAGAAAAGCAGCATTCTTTTGAGTTTCTGATTAGCCTTTCCAAAGAGACAATCAGACATGCATTTATCTCAGTGAGCAGAGCGATGACTTTGAATAGCATGGAGGCAGGTTTTCCCTAAGCAGTTCCCAGCTGGATTTTTCTCTTTAGCTAGTGATTTGGGGGTTCCAAGATCTATTCTCCTGCCACACTCCCCAGCCTCATCCCATATCCTCCTTGACTGGAACCTCCTGTTGCCCCAACCCCATGCCTTGGGCTTGTCCTGCTCCCCCTGGAGACAGGCACACACATGCAGACTCAGCACAGCTCAGGGCACCTCTGACCCCATCTCAGCTCTGTGTGGTCCTTCCCACTCTGAGCCCTTGCAGCAGCCAGGGAAACACCATCCTAACACTTACAGATTCTTATCATGAATGTGTCCTGCTGTGTCTCCTCCAACTCCAGGTGGTGATCAAGGCTCAAGTGTTATTTATGTATTTCCATAACCTCAGCCAGAGCAGAGCTGGAAGGGGTGGGGAAGCCAGGGGAGGGGCGAGAAGGGAAAGGGAAGGGAGGGAGAGAAAAATGGAGGGGGAGGGGAGAGAGGAAGAAACGGGGAGGAGGGGAGGGAAGGAGAGAGAGAGGCAGGAAGGGAGGAAGGGAGGGTGAACTGAGGGAGGGAAGTGAGGTGGAGAAGGAGAAAGGAGAAGGCAGAGAGGGAAAAAGGGTGGAGGAGGGAGGGAAGGGGAAGAGGTGGAAAAGGAGGGAGAAAGAAAGTTAGCTGGTTAATTGATTAGTTAGTTAGGTAGTTGGTCCCTAAAATAAGACCAATCAAATAGAACCATTCTACCCACAGGAGTAGACTCAAACTTGACTTTGTGAGCTTACTCGTGAGAGAACCAATCAGACCCTGAGAAGCAAGTTCATCCTTGGGCCATGGTGCCAGGAACTGTGATGGCTTCCATCCATCTTGAGCCGCTTTTGTTACCCAAATTATAGTATGCAAGACAGAAGCAGCTTAATGAGGTCCTGTGCATTCTCTGGGGGGATGGGGGAAGAGGAGTGGGAAAGGAACAAAGGCCTCCAACCTCCCAAGACGGAGGCTCCCTCGTTGTCTTGGGCAGCCCCAGCTTCCTTTGAAAGCAAGAAAGGAGCACAGTCCACTGCCATGGCAACCACCCTCAGCCGTCCTGGGACTGGGACGTGACTACTGACTGGGAGCCGTCCAGAGGCCAGGTTTCCCCAGTTTCCAGCCACACAGGAATAGAAGCCCTTTAAAAGGAATGACAGATGACACTTTTTAGGACCTGGCTCAGCCACCAGTGACGGCTGGGGAAAGCCTCTGTCCTCACCTACCATCTGCTCCATTACAGGGTGTAATTTGCCTGTCCTGAACGCCAATTTGAAAGCAGCCTGTAACTATAAGGCAACAAAGATGCTAACCAGGGCTTATGAGTGAGTAGACAAAAGGAGACGTCACCTCCTTGCTCACATTGAAGGTTGAACTTGTGGCTGTCAGCAGGAGGCAGCAGATGCAGGCATCTCTGGGTCCTTCCCCAGAAGCCCAGGTTCACTCACAGTCACTGTGACCCACTGGGGGTCAGTCAGTCCTGGTGTAGACAGTGAGCACTGACCTTAGTTGAAGGTTCCTTGATACCACCACTGGGGTAAGAATTTTTTATGCTATTCTCGTTCAGCCATTGCCACAACCCTACAAGGAAGGTATCTTAAGTGAGTTGTGTGCATTCACAAAGCTCAGGTGGCGGAGGTGGAAGTGGGTTCTGCCAAAATCCATCTTCCCTTCCTCTCTAACAACAGGACTGCAGCTTGGCAATGGCTGGAGAGCTACACCGCATACCTCAGCTCCCCCTGCACTCCGGTGGCCCTAATGGGAGCAGAAGACATGGGGTCACTTGTTGACCAAAGCCTTTACAACTGGGGCTTGGCTGTTCCTTGATCTGGGTCCTCTTCCTATACACCTAAGCATGGGAGGAGCTAGGACCCAGTCTTGGTCACACAGATGAGAATGGTGCTGAAGGAGTGGGGAAGAAACAGTGTGGAAGGAACTTGGGTCTCTGAATGAGCATGGGGAGCTGAGCCACCTGCTGGTCCTAATCCCGGACCTTAGTGATAGACAAACTTGGCCTCATGTGAGCCCCTGCCCATGGTTTGTACTGGTCACTTCGCTCAGTGTCCTGTCAGAACAACAGAGACCAGGTATTTCAAACAGTAGGAATTTGATATGGAGAACCAGTTACAAAAGTGTTGGAAGCCTGGAGAATTACAAAGGGGAAACTGAGGTTCTGCGGAGACTATGAACTGTGGGAAGCTGTCATCATCCCAGGAGCTGGAGAAGCAGAAGAGAAAATGGCATATCCCAGAGCCCAGGATCACTGCACCTCTGAGGCTACGGAGCACGTGCTGCTGCTGCTGCCGCTGTGACTGTGGGAACCATCACCACAAATCAGCAATCAACAAGAGGCCTTCCTTCCCATGGACCGCCTGAGCCAGAGTCCATGAGTGAGATGCTACTGGAATCGGTCATCCTAAGGAGGAACCCAAGAGGCTGCTACAGCTGCAAGAGGCAGCAGAAGAGGCAGGAAGAAAATAAAATGGTTTCTCTCTTCCTCCACCTTCCAGTCTCCTGCCAGGGTTTCCCATTGGCAAGGTTAAACTGGAAGGCAAGTTGGTTTGCAGGCTTCCTGCTCCCTGTGACCCAGATGGATCTGGGAGCAGAGACAAGGGAGCAGCACACTGGGCTAGTGAAAGGTCTGGTACTGGGGCTGGCGGATGTCTCCACTCCTGACTGACTAACAGTGGCTTTCCACGATGCTGCACTAAGAGGCTAGAGGAGGGGAGGACAATCAAGGGTCCCTGTCTCCAGTCCACCGGGGCAGAGACGAGGCCAGAACTGGGAGGGCAGCAGGGGGACTGGTGAGAGGGATGCTCTCAGGCAAAGTCAGGCCTGGGATCTATAGGAAAGGGGCCTGAAGCGGTTTGCACCACCTGGAGGTGAGGGTGGACGGTGGCCGTGCATGCACTTTGAATTGGTCATCTGCATTCCAGGACATGGACCACTCTCCCAAGATGAAAAAAAAAACCTGATAGAGGATCACACGGTACCAAATAAAAGTGTTTATTTTAACAGGAGCAGTGATCTAAGCCAGCATGCACCCAACAGCTCCTCAGTGCCAAGCACCACACTGCACCCTGCAAACACACTTTCCTCACGTGGACCTCATGACGGTCCCATCGAAGACATATTTTCACTCCATTTTACATTGAGAACGTTGACATTTGGGTTATGTAAACTCACTCAAGAATTAAGTGGCAGAGGTGAAATTGTCACCTCAATGTGACTCCAAGCTTATTGACTTTGCCTCAGAACATCCCTCTCACCAATCCCCCTGCTGCCCTCCCAGTTCTGGCCTCGTCTCTGCCCTGGTGGACTGGAGACACACACCCTTGATTGTCCTCCCCTGATCTAGCCACATGACTCCCTAGGTGAGGCCTTCACTCGGTCTGGATGATTCTTCTGAAACCAGATCTGGCCACGTCACTCCCAATGGAACACAGATGCAAATGCCACCATCTGACATTGTCCCCAGCCTCTGGGCTCACCCCAGAGATTCTCAGTCAGCAGGTCTTGGAGGAACCTGTCAATCTGCCTTGAGAGAGTCTCTGGGGACTCCACCTCTCTGCCCACTCTAGGGAGCCCAAGCCTTGGGTCCAGGTGGCATCGGAAGGTCCCTGGTCCAGCCTCTGCCTGCCCATACAGCCTCACCACTCAACCCTTCAGCCTAGACTATCAGTGTCTTAGCCTACTCAGGCTGCTGTAAGAGAACGTCACAGAATGAGTGGCTCAGACCACAGACGTTTGTTTTTCATGTCTCACAGCTCGAGAGGCTGCAAGCTCGCGACCAAGGCGTCAGCGGTGTTGGTTCCTGCAGAAGCCTCTCCCGGGCCTGTAGACAGCCTTCTAGCTGAGTCCTCACATCACCCTTCCCTGGTGCCCCTGTCTCTCCTTACAAGGACACAGGTCAGGTTGGAGTAGGACCCCATGCCAGGACCTCATTGGCTTTCATCATCCCCTTAAAGCCCCTATCATCTTCAAATACAGTCACATTGGAGGTTAGGGCCTTAAGAAAGAAATTTGGGGTGGAAACAATTCCATTCCTAACAGTTGGGTAGAGGCCATGAGCATGAATCTGGACCTGAGATAAGCCTGTTTTTGAAGTCCCACCTTTGCCATTCACTCGCAAACCTCCATCTGTTTCTGAGTCTCATCTGAGAAGTGGGGACAAGGTGTCCTCAAACACAGGAAAGTAAAAGATTTAAAGGCGGCAGCGTATGGAAAGCCCCAGGCACTCAGTGGGCCTTGTGTAATGGAAGATTGTCACGAGCCATGTCTCCACCCTCACAAATGCCCTAATTCCCCACCAATCTCTCTCCCCTTACCCTCTCTGAGTCTATCTTTGTCCAGCACTTGACATTTCCCCGAAGATGCACAAGACCTTCAGCAATTCTGTGCATGAGGTAGGCAGGCCCTCCTGGCCCTGTATGCAGATGAAAGAGAGCAATTGCCTGGCCCAGAGCCACCTGCAGATGTGGATGTTCAAGCGGGGAGAGGCCTCACGTCTCCTGACTCCACGCCCCGTGCTGTTTCATTCACTAGGGGATTTTCAAGTCCCACAGCGACTCAGTGTAAGTCTTTAAAAACCAAAGGCTCTTTGATAGAACCTGTATTACAGGAAGAGGGAGAAAGAGAAAAGAGACATTCCCTCTTTCCAGAAAGTCTTGGACAGCAGGTATCGGTGAGAAAAGTCAGCACATCAGAGCCATCTACACTGGCAAGGAGCGGAGCAGCATTGAGTCTCCATCACCAGGAGGCATCTGGATCCTGGGTCACGGGGAACTCTGTATGATGACGTTGCTGCATTTGTTCACCAGGAAAGTAAAAGAAACATCCTTGATGCTGGAAACCTCTGGGACCAGCTCCCAGAGCACAGAAATCTGGCCAACCTGTCCATCATTTGGCAGAAGCCCAGGTCTCTGGGCTGGTCCTGACTCTGACATGGAGCCTGCTTTACATACAGCCTCACTTCCTGGTCAGCAGAAGCAGCCTGTAGTCCATGGCCAGCTGTGCAGGTGACCTGTCCACTCGACTACACGTGGGAGATCCCTTGCCTGCTCACGGCAGGGGAGAACAGGGCCATGGCATCAGGGATCCCTGCACTGGTGTCTCTGGGTCACAGAGAAACTGACCGGCTCAGAGCCCAAACTCGCCACCCACAGCCTTGCATCCTGTCGAAGATTTGCAAGGAAATGTGGATGGACATGCAAGGACGGTTCTGAGGGGCCATGGGACGTGCTGACTTTTCATACCTATACCTGCTGTCCAAGACCTTCTGGAAAGAGAGAATACCTCTTTTCTGTCGCTCCCTCTTCCTGTATTACGGGTTCTATCAAGGAATCCTTTGGTTTTTAAAGACTTAAACTGAGTCACTGCTGGACTTGAAAACCCCCTAGTGGACAGAACAGCATGGGGCATAGAGTCAGTA